CTTAGTTTTCATTCATCTATAAGCATTTCTAATATCCTTTATTTATTTTTTGATCCACTGGTTGCTTAAGAATGTGTTATTTAATTTCCACAAATTTGTGAATCTTTCCAATCTTCCTTCTGTTATTGATTTCCAGCTTCATTCCATTGTGGTTGGAGAATATACTTTGGATGATTTTAATCTTTTAAAATGTATTGACACTTTTTTTGTGGCCTAACATATGGTCTATCCTGGAGAATGCTCTGTGTGCACTTCAGAAAAGTGTGCATTTTACTTTTGATCAGAGATTTCATACATGACTGTTGGGTCCACTTGCCTTATAGTGCTATTGAAGTCATCTGTTTCCTTATTGATCTTATATCTGGTTGTTCTAGTCATTATTGAAAGTAAGATACAGAAGTCTGCACTTATTATTTTAGAACTATTTCTTCTTTCAATTCTGCCAACTTTTGTTCATATATTTTGGGGTTCTATTGTTAAGTGAATATATGGTTATAGTTGTTATATCTTTCCTAAAAGATTCTGAGGGATCATTTTAAACAAAATTTCATCTTGGTCATTGATGCTGTGGCTTTGCCTACTGCTAAATAATGCAGTGCCAGTGGATTTATAATCTGTTCCTCTCTTTATCTCCACAAGAGGATTTGAGATGTCTTGGAATGAGTTTGCTTTTTAAAAATAAATGTTATAAATATTCTTTTTTTTTTTTTTGAGACAGAATTTTACTCTTGTCATCCAGGCTGGAGTGCAATGGCTCACTGCAACCTCCCAGGTTCAAGCAATTCTCCTGCCTCAGCCTCGTGAGTAGCTGGGATTGCAGGTGTCCACCAACATGCCCAGCTAATTTTTGTATTTTTAGTAGAGACGCGGTTTCACTATGTTGGCCAGACTGGCCTTGAACTCCTGACCTCAGGTGATCCACCTGTCTCGGCTTCCCAAAGTACTGGGATTACAGGCATGAACCACAGAGTTTCACTCTTGTTGCCCAAGGTGGAGTGAAGTTGTATGATCTCAGCTCACTGCAACCTCCACCTCCCAGGTTCAAGAGATTCTCCTGCCTCAGCCTCCTCAGTAGCTGGGATTACAGGCAACCACCATCACAGCTGGCTAATTTTTTGTATTTTCAGTAGAGATGGGGTTTCACCATGTTGGCCAGGCTGGTCTCGAACTCCTGAGCTCAGGTGATCCACCTGCCTTGGCCTCCCAGAGTTTTGGGATTACAAACGTGAGCCACTTCACCTGGCCCATGTTATAAAGATTCTAGTTTTCATAACAGATAACTTCTAACAACAGTCATAGATAACAGATAGATAATAGTCCTTTCTTCCATTCTTTACAGAAGGAGGAGAAAATTGATATACCAAGCTCTAGGATATCATAGTTAATGGGATTGAATTTCTGTACTTCCCAGAAGACAGGATAGAAAGTGAAATAAAATGGGTCATATTACTTGAATATTTAAAAATTTAAAAAAAGTTTTAATTGTTATGAGTACATAATAGTAGTGTATATTGATGGGGTGTGATGTTTTGACACAGGCATAAAATGTGTAATGATCAAATCATATATGGAGTGTCTGTCATGTGAAGCATTTATCATTTCTTTGTGTTAGAAACGTTCCAATTCCACTCTTTTAGCTATCTTAGAATATAAGATAAACTACTGTTAACTATAGTCATCCTACTGTGCTACCAAATACTAGATCTTATTCATCCAACCTAACTGTATTTTTGTACCTATTAACTATCCCCATGTTATCCACCCCTCCTTTGCCGCCCTTCACATCCTCTGGTACCCATCATTCTACTCTCTATCTCCAAGAATTCAATTTTTTTTAAGCCCTCACATATGTGTGAGAACATAAAACAGTTGTCTTTCTGCGCCTGGAGTATCTTACTTAACATAATGTCCTCCAGTTCCATCCATGTTGTTGCAAATGACAGGACTTTTAAATTTTTACAGATGGGTCATATTCCATTGGGTATATAGATCACATTTTTTTATCCGTTCATTTGTTGGATGCTTAGGTTAACCCCTTATCTTGGCTATTGTGAGGAGTGCTGTAATAAACATGAGTGTGTAGGTATCTCTTTGAAATACTGATTTCCTTTTTTTTGGATATGTACCCAGCAGTGGGACTGCTGGGTCATATGATAGCTCTATTTTTAGCTGTTTGAGGAACCTCCAAACTGCTCTCCCTAGTGGCTGTATCCATTTACACTCCCACCAACAGTGTGCAAGGGTTCCCCTTTCTCCACATCCTCGCCAGCATTTGTTACTGCCTGTCTTTGGGATAAAAGCCATTGTAACTGGGTGAGATGACATCTCACTGCAGCTTGGAGTTGTATTTCTCTGACGATTAGTGACGTTAAGCATTTGTTATAAACCTGTTGGCCATTTGTACCTCATTTTAATATTTGAGAAAATAAATTACTATTATTCTTTAGTGCAGGTTCTTACTTTATTTTATTTTACTTTATTTTCCTAATCCAGTCTCTTTGGTGAAATTCCTGCATATCTGCTTGTGTTCATGTCATTTCCACAGCAGCCCTCTCCACCGTCACCCCTACTGCTGCTCGTGGTGGCCGCCACTCACTGGGCCACTCTTCTGTGTCATCGCACACTTCCCCTCTGCTACTCCTCCACAGCTCTCTGAGGTGGGAACGGCTGGCCCCAGTTCTGCAGGAATGGGAGGATCTGCCCCAGGCCACACTGCGCAGTCCAGCTGAGCTAGGTGACCCACTCTATGCATCACCTCTTCCTGTGGCCTTTCCCATTTGACAAACGAAAATGCTGAAAACAGAACAGTCCTGCCATGGAGGTTTCTTTTTTCCAGAGGTTTCATTTTCTGGAAATCTACAAGACCCACAAGAATGGGCCTTTAGTGACCTTGGGCAAATGTCCGTGGCCACTTCTGGTCTGCTGCCTGGGCCTGCTCTTCAGACTGAGTTCATTCATAGCAAACGGGTCCATAGGAAATATCAGTACACAGGAATCAGTTTGAGGGTATCTCAGTGAGTTGTATGAAAAGCAGTGAATGCCTTGGGCCTGACAGTTTCCTTGGCATCCCTTTTAAGCTTGAAGCCTAAAACCCTCTGGCTCCATGCAAAATGTTAACTCAAGAGCCCAGATCTGGGGTTAAGAAAGACCGAGGCACAGAGTTTTGATGGAATCACTGGCAAACGAATGGCCCTTTACTGTCAGGGCAATTGGAAGCTGCAGATGACATTCTGTGAGGAAGGGAGGTGTCCGAGGAGCTGAGTGTTCCGTGAGCCCCAGACTTGCAACTCGGGTTCAGGTTTCCACTTGGGTTGGCCTCCTGCAGCCCTGGGTGAAGTGCCGGGCCGTTTGGCCTGCAGGTCTCTAATGCATTGCGTTCCCACATGCACGCCTTCAGCAGCCTCTGACCTGGGCCTTCAGCCACCCAGCCCTCCACTTCCCTCAGCTGCATTTACCTGCTGGATCTTAAGTCACTGCAGTTCAGTTTAAACTTTAAACCTGTGTTTCCCAATCTGAGCCTGCTTCAGATTAGGAAATGATTTACATTTCCCAGCTGGACCCTGGGAGTAAAATTGAAAGTGGGGCACTGAGGAGACGGTCCCAGGACATGCGCTTCAGCCCCACATGGCTCAATAACGATGTTCCCAGCTTTGGGGTGGGACACCCTGGAGTGTGAAGCTTGCTGTGTCACCAGGGAGGCTGATTTAAAATCTCTAAGCTGGTCAGGCATGGTGGGTTGCGCCTGTAATTCCAGCACTTTGGGAGGTTGAGGCAGGCAGATCACCTGAGGTTAGGAGTTCAAGACCAGCCTGGCCAACATGGGGTGAAACCCTGTCTCTACAAAAATAGAAAAATTAGCGAGGCATGATGGCGGGTGCCTGTAATCCCAGCTACTCGGGAGGCTGAGGCAGGAGAATCACTTGAACCTGAGAGGCAGAGGTTGTAGTGAGTGGAGATCAAGCCATTGCACTCCAGCCCGGTGACAGAGCGAGACTCCATCTCAAAACAAAACAAAAAAAGCCACACACACACACACACACACACAGCCCCCAAAAAACCCTCTAAGCTTCAGTTGCCTCACTGGGAAAGTCAACATGATAACAGTGGCTCCTCCTTCCTCCTTAAAGGTGTCTTGCTGTGGTTAAGTGGGGAACACACAGGGGACGGGGTGCACGCTGAAGCAGTGCCATTGCATATGGTCGCTTTCACCACGGAACCCGCGTGGCGTGTGGGCGTTCCCAGGTGGAAGTGACAATGGAGACATGGGAATTGCCCATACAGATAATGAAATGAGGTAGCAGCTAACCCAGGCCCCAGCCCTTGGCTGAGTGAAGCAGGGTAGAGCCAGGGTGGAGATTAAACCACTCACTGAGCACAGGTGTTAATTCTCCACGGTTCTGCTAAAGACTTTCCTATTGAAAGAAATAATTTAACTTACAAGTTTCACAAATAGTTCACTATATACACTTGCAGAGTCAAATTTCTTGCTGAGCACGGAGCCCGTGGGCTATGCAGCCCAACGTCCAGCTAACTCTGTAGCATTTTGTGAAAGAAGCTCTGGTTATAAAAGGGATGTGCTTTTGAGGAGCACTGGACGGTCTCCCTGCACATCTTTAAAACAACACACATGCGAATGTTCCGCAAATGGCTGGCAAGTACAGGCAGAAACTGAAGGAATGTAACTTTCTTTCTTGAGGGCAAATAGATGCAACGCCAATTCGGTTTTCTGCCAGCACTCTGAGCTCATCAGGAAAATACAGTTCCTTATAAAAAGGGAAAAGAAGTTTGCCCCCCACCCATAAAAAGATTTAAATAAAATCACTTTCCCTGAAATATCACAGTCTGCATGTACACACGCTGCAGTTCGTTCATATGAGATACAGTTGGTTTAAAAAGTAAAACCATAAAATGGGAACGTAGGGAAAAGCCCAAATGATCAACAGATGTCAGCTGCTTATAATTTGCAAGGAGTAATCCACATATCCATTAATCACTCTCACCTCTTTGGAGGCTAAGATTTGGCGCAACTCTTTCCTGAGATCGATAAAACGATCATGGAAGATGGCCAGGCACCACGGCTCCGTGAAGTAGCTGGTGAGGAAAGAAGAGACTCAGTGAGCTGGCAACCCTCTCATTACCACTAATAAAGTATTTGCCTGCTTTTTTGCCTTCATAAATTACAGTTCCAGCCTCATTGCAACCATTTGCTCATAAAATGTCTAGTGGAACAGCCTGGCCAATCAATTTTTTAAATGGATGTTCCCACTGTAAGGCCAGGTCCCATAATTACATTTAAAGTGGCTTAATTCAGAGCTGGGGCAAGACCCAGTGAAGAATCCTGATTTTATCAGAATTTAAAAGCCTGAAGACTTGTAAAGAAGGGTGTCTCCATTATCTGCCCTCGTTTGAGAAAAACAGATTGCAAGATTAACTGCTGCATAAATAAATTAAATTTGGGTAGGCAATAACACAAATGTTGTTCATCATTAAGGTTTCTGGATTAATAATGGCCAGAAAAACAGGCTGCCTTGGCGCTGCAACATACTCTTTGCACGGTCACATCGATGCCTAATTGAATCTCTCGTAGGAGAGCTGCATTTTTTGGTGTTCATATTTGCTAACTTTTCACTGAAAGTTGAAATGCTTTCTTATATGGAGAACAATAAGGTTAGCCTTTATTTACAGGTGACTGCTGAAAATTTGACGCATTCTTGGAATAACCAAGAACTCTTACTAGTATTTTAACTCTTACTTTAAGTGTCTTGGAAAAGGGAACTTAACTGCTTCAGGGTCAAAGCCACGTGGCTCAGGTGGGCTTTGCTCTCCTCTGGTTGGGGCTAGCTGTTCTCACTACTGTTTATGGACGCTGTGTGTGCGCGCAGGGGAAGGAGAAAACTGGTGCCTTGTTTTCCAAGACGTAGAAGTTAGTTCTTAGGGATGGAGGGAAAGTGTCCCAGGGGCCACGAGGGCACTAGAGGACAGCTACAACGCCAAGTGTTGGCGCTTTCAGTCCTCGCCCCGCACCCACTCACTGGACCAGAACGCGACCTCAGTTCCTGCTGACTCGCCCGCGTTGCTGTTCAGGTTGTATGTTCATCCAGCTGTTAACACAGTCTTCCCTCCGCGGCTGAAATACCCCATGTCTGTTTCCGTGGCACCATCGGAGCTCCCACCCCCTTGGTTTTGGGGGTCTACGGCCGCCGAACAGAACTGCCTGCTGCTTTCCTCACCTCCAGTGCCACCTGTGCCAACGACCTAGGTGCTGCTGGGCTACGCTCCCTGCCCAGTGCCTTTACAACTCTGCCTTCTGTGTTGCTCATCGGGGACCCTCCATCGCCTGCTTCAGAGAGGGAGTTCTGTGAAGTCCCACTTCTCTTGGGAACCCAATGTGGCCCGTCCCGAACACCCGGGTTCCCACAGCCAACAGTGTCACTGCCCTAAAAAGTCCTCTGTGCGCTGCCTACTCACCCTCTCTCCTTCCCTCACTCTGAATCCCTGGCAAATTCACTCTGGAGGAACTTGAATTGTATTAGAGAAAATGAGGACTGTGTAACAATTTTTATAAAACATTAAAAAAAAATCCTAGTGTCCAAGTTTTATTTCAGAAATAGAGTGGTGTTCTCCCAGCCACACAACACTAAACATCACTCTTGCCAGCAACTCTAAAGGGAATGGACTTGCAACGTGAGGCTGTGTGCTCCGCGTGCCCATGGTGGCTGCCCCAGGGCTGGGCCTCGGGGCCCAGGCTCCTGGCAGAGGCCTGCATGTCACGTGAGGGCAGGGCTCGGACAGGCTGTTTTCCCCTAGGAGAACAAGGGGAACTTTAGCACCAGCTACAGGCTCCCAGGTAAAGGTGGCCGGGAGGCAGGAGGGTGCCTGGGACCTGCGGGCTTCCTAAAATCATCCACAGCAGCCGCACGGCAGCTTTCCTCATTCAGATTGGAAAAGCTCTGAATTTAACCAAACCTATTTTACAGTTGATTGTAACGTTGAGTCAAATGAAGACGATTTCCTTTTAAGAATGTTAGAAGGAAATTCTGCTTTAAGAAAAGTTTTAGGAACCAGGTGTGATGTGTCCTGCCTGCAATCCCAGCACTTTGAGAGGCCAAGGTGGGAGGATTGCTTGAGGCTGGGAGTTCGAGGCCAGCCATAGTGAGACCCCTGTCTCTACAAGAAAAAATTAAAAACTTTAGCCAGGTGTGGTGGTGACACATGCCTGTGGTCCTAGCTTCTAGGGAGGCTGAGGTGGGAGGATCCCTTGAGGACAGGAGTTAGAGGCTGCAGTGAGCTATGATCCCGCCACTTCACTCCAGCCTAGGTGACAGAGTGAGACCCTGTCTCTAAATAAATAAATAAATAAAAGTTATAGACCTCCCCCAGGCTGAACGATTTCTATGCTTTAGGCTCCTTCTGTATGCACAGGAAGGAGAGGAACGTCTTGGATCCTGGTGAAGCTGAGGGCCAGGTTCTGCACTTTTGGCCACCAGGTACTATGGCACCATCAGCATTCGTGATGAGCTTTTGGGAAACTGGTAATTCCATAAATATTGTGAATTTTAAAAATAAAAAATATTTTTCCCAATTTATATTCAAAAGGGGAAAACTGCTAGGAGCCATGAAGTAACCCACACAGCCTGTTGTCTAGAAATGTTCAGGGGACAGCGGCAGGTACGCACAGCGTCCCAGTGTGCTTTCTAAGGGGCTATGTGCATTTCAGTGTCAGTGCCACAAAAATCATTTTACACAGCCGTGAGAAAAAAGTTTCACTTCTTCAAGACCAAAATAGAAGACGTTACTGTCTTCATGTTGCCAATGACCAGCCTGGTTTACTTGGGAGGACTTAAGTTCCCCATCACTTCTGCAAATAATACACTTTTCCAAGAAGCCCTGGGAGATGTCGCCTCGTGGAACTGAATTAACCAGTTTTGGTCGATATGGTCCAATCATTAAGTAATTGACTAGACGTCTCCAGAGGTCATCCTCGCCTGCTCATCCAGGCAGTTTCACTGACAGGCTCATAAACCGAGTGGAGATGTGAAAGCCGGCTTGGCCACTGGCCACACTGAAGGCCGAGGAAAGCCGATCAACGCAACACACTGAGAGGTTTTAAGAAAACATCCAACACGTCTACCGGGAAAGAGAAGTGGGTAAAGTTACTTTAAAGGCCAGGATCTCAACTCCAAGGTCAAGGCCTTCCTGGCCAGCAGGAAAGGAGCTCTGTGGCCGCAGGGGTGCCCTTCCCAACATCAGCACAGTGTGGCAGGGCGTGCTGAACTATGCACTAGGTGTCATAGAGGAGGAGGGGGGCAGGGAAGAAACACATCACTGTTCCAAGATTTTCTTAAGAAGCATTCTAATTTTCTCTTGGCATGGAATAACTAGTTTCTGCTTTTAGAGCTGCTCACAGGCTCCCCAGCTGCCACTCACGCCTGCAGAGCGGGCTGCTGGAAAGTCAGGGGTCCCTTTTCTCCAGGTGGGCTGCTGCTGCCAGGGTGGCCGGTTTCCTGAGAGAATGATGCTCTCGCTTGTACATGTCCTTCCGACATGGTGGAGGGCAGACTGTTCTCCTAAGATGCCTGGCCGAACGTCAAGCTCACAGCCATGAGTCTCAACCTTGTGATGCCAGAGGATCGAGCATGGCTGGTGGGGCTGGCCTCTCTAGGAAGCAGCCCATGCCACGTCTCCATTCGATACACAGAAGGTAGGCAGTGATGAATATCATGGTAGCAAACAGATACCTGAGGCCAGGTATGATACACGGACGCATCTACTTTGGCCTGAATGACATTTGGAACTTGGGTTTCAGGCCCTTCTTTGATGAGTCAGATTAGGCAATGCTGGATCCTTGTTTCCGTATGGCAGCTATCAGCTCAGTTGCTGGGGATGCCCTCCGTGGTTCATCCTTGCTTTCCCACCAGCCTGGCTGGCATTGCTCCTCTCCACGGGTCACAGCAGGCATCTGGGTGTGCCAAGCCTGGCAAGAGGTCTTGGTGTAAGGGAGGTAGGTTTGTAAATATGTTTCCTGAAGCCCCTCTGCCCCATGTCCTCTTTCATGGTGCCATGTCTGCAAATAATACCAGAACTATGTCCTAGCTTCTTTTTTCTTGTCCATCCATCCATCCAACCATCCATCCAACCATCCACCCACCCACCCATTCATCCATCCACCCATCCATCCATCTACCCACCCATCCATCCATCCACCCACCCACCCATTCATCCATCCACCTA